ACAAGTTCAAAAGATCTCAAATGCATAGGATTGACAGATGAATTTTTTAGTCAACTGATCAAAATTTGACTGTATACTGAAAAGTCAAACTTTGACTTTTTGGTCAAAATCAAGTGCCAAGGTTCATTTTTCATCAAGACATGTAAAATTATGAAACTTGTTCATCAAGAAACCCAAAATTGCAAATTAGGGTTTAAAATGAAGAAATTTCATAACTTAGAAATTTTCTAAGTTATGAAATTTTCTTATTTTTTCCTAACTTTGTCCCATTTTTTCACCAAGATGAAAATGGATTCAAACAAAACTTGAAACATGAAAGTTGTAGTACATTGCAAAATCTACAACTTTTATTCACAAAGTTTTCTCAAAGGAAGCTTGTATCTCAAGTTATGATTTTTGGAATAAGGGTACAAAACATTTTTAACTTAGAGAAATTTTGCCCTATTCTAGGCAGGATTTTTGTCCAACTTCTTCGCCATTTTTCACATAGTTCCAAGAGGAAGTTCAAGATGCATTACAAATATGGATTGTAGTACATGTTCCAAGCTTTCCAAATTGTCCAAGAACTCCTCAAACACCCTTGTGGTTAGAGAGAATCGAATTCACAAAGTTGGCCAAAACTCACTTTTGTTCATGACCAATACATGTTCATAGCAAATGGCATTTTCAAATCAGCTTGGTTTGTGCTAGCTTGCAGGCCTCTAAACCCTTTTACACTCCTTAATTGAATGCAAATCCACTGAGCTAATGCATTATTTTGTTCATTTGGACATTGCACACAAAATTAAGCCTTAAGTAGTAAAAGGTGAATTGCCATTTTTGCTTAAAGTTGCTTTATGTCAAATACCAAATCCTTGAGGCATGGGGCTAAATCTGAGAGCCAAATCAAATATACGCATTCCAGTTACTAAGAGCTTTGTTTTGCTGCATACATTAGGCATTGTACTGGCTTGTATCCAAGGACACATTTTCTTACTTACACTTGAAGCAACTTTGCAAAAACACTTCAACTTCCATTTCCTGTCAACACAGCCAAACACAAACCTTGTGAACATTTTCCATACATCAAGCCAAGCCTAAAACACGATTCAACCATTCCTCATACCTCCCAAAACACAAAAACACTGTTTTGTTGCAAAAACAGGGCATCCCTGCAGTTTGACTTGCCTAGCATTATCCACTTGTGCGTTTTTGCCCAAACAAGTTCCAACACATTCCTTTCCATCCACCCAAACTATTCCAAGCCCTAAACACAAGTTGTAACACCCCTAACCTCACTTGCCATTTTCACTTTTCAGTTTTGCAGGTGGACTTCTATAGCACGATACAGATTAATTCAAAGCAAGCTAGGTGTGGGAAAAGCTTCCTTGAACCTCAGGCAAGCTATACAGGAGCTCAAACTTCATTGAAGTTGGCCATATTGATGTACACGATTCAAGCTGAAACAGGTAATCCATGGACTTCTATCTCTCAATCTAGGAAGAGTTAGGCTTAGGTTTGTGAATGAAACATGTCCTACTCATAGCCCTGAAGCCATATATATGATTACTTTTCATTAATGTTAAGCGTGCTGTGAGAATTTTAGCCATGAACATGAGGGGAAAATTAGGTTAAAATTTAGGGCCAGAGAAATTATCTCTGGCCTTTGAGTGTTAATCCAAGTTTTTTACATGTTTGAACTCATGATTTGATGCTCTATAATGTTTGTGTTATGAGTTTTACAAAATAATCAAGGAATCAGGAGTTTGTGTTGGACAAAGGGAGGCGCGCGTTTTTTCTGTTTGAACAAGAAGCTGAAGGTTGAAGATGATGGCTTGGGCTGGGCCTGAGCCATCCTTACTTTTTGCACCCCTTTTCTCATTTTGCACCCCCCTGGCCCAAATAATTAAATACTTGTTATTTTTGACTTCTTATTTTTTATTCTGATTTCATATTTTTTGCTTAAACATAAAAAACACCAAAAATATTTTTCCACATTTTTTTCTTATTTATTTGATATTTGTTTCATTTTAATAGCTTATGTATGTAAATAAATATAAATACCTTTTTATTAAAACCTCAAAAATATAATACAAAAATATATTTATTTTTTAGTTACTATTTTTATTTACATCTTGAAAATATTTTGTCAAATATACATTTTTTTTATATAAATAATTAATTTTATCTTTTATATTTAATAGGTTTAGTAAATATATATATAAATACTTGTATATTACATTTATTAGAATACTTAGGATAAAAATATAGAAATAATACATTTTTATTTTTATTAATATATGACACTAAAATACTTTTTTAACAATATACTTTTTATATTCTTGTATAAATTAATATATATTGTACATAGTTAATAAATAATACTATTTATTCAAAAATTAAGGTTTTGCCCTAAACAACAAAAATAACCAAAAAAATGACTTTTTTTATTTTGTTTATACTTCAAACATGAAAACCTTTTTCACATACATAAACAAATTTTTTTTTTGCATAATACATTGCATTTTGATATTTATTTAAATTGTATTTATTTAAATGTTAAATATTTGTATATTCGATATGGTTGTAATAACTTAGATTCTATTTCCTTGTCAAATATCCCCCAATTCAAACTTGTATCCCCATCCCCATAATCATGTTGTAATAATTTAGGACTTTAAATTCTCGCACATTTAAAAGTTTCCAAATTATGCCATGGTAGACTTAGGGCTTGTATGCAAAATCAATTAACAAATAGCTTGACCTAATTCAAGATAAACATGCATGAAAAACAAACACAATGCACACTTGCACCCCTAGGGTTACTCCACTTGTTGCCTTCAAAAATGGGCCATGTTTGCATGTTGAGTTTCTTTGGCAAAACAAAAACAAATCAAAATGATCATAGTCCCTCGATGACGCTATCAAGTTGTCTAAACAAAAATGATCAAGTCCCTCAAGAAAATTGCCAAAATACTTGACATTATTGCATTCATGGTCTAAACGATGACCCGCGCCCGTCCCGTTAACATCCTAACGCAAGGTTGTTCATCAAATACAATGGTGAAACAACATTGTTAAAAGGGTTAAAACATGAGAAAGATCTTTGAGAAATTTAGGGTAGATAACTCTTGGTTACTTGACCAAACTTGCAAAACAGTCCTTGCCATTTTTCAAAACACACTTCACAAACACAACTTCCAAAACAACTTTCAAAAACATTGAAACATCTTTTCGAAAAGACAAACACCTTTGTAAAACATTCAAACAAGAATTGTTACAATGGTTGCCTAGACAAGGCCTCTTTTTCAAAACATTTTCAAAACCACACACACAAAGCACCATTTCAAACAATTGAAAAGCAAAGGCAAGTGATCTAAGCAAGTAACTAAGAGCCCATGGATAACCATGGATAGAAAGGGTGCTAATACCTTCCCTTTCTATAATCTACTCCCCGAACCCATGAAAAAATCTCAAAGGTCTTTCCTGTGCTTTTTGACGCTTCCTTAGGATAAATAAAAAGTCGGTGGCGACTCTTGCTCAACCGAAACATTTGCGAACACAAACACAAACCTCAAGTCAGTTCTCCCACCGTATCACAGTTTGCTTAAGATAAAATTGGAATTTATAATGGATGTTCAAGACACATGACTTGTGAAAAGAGTTATCTTGATGAGTTGAAGCCTTACTCTAACAGTTATGTCACCTTTGGTGATGGGGAAAGAGGAATAGTCAAGGGCATGGGCAAACTAGTTAGTCACGGTTTCCCTTGAGTTAATGATGTGTTGTTGGTAGAAGGATTAAATGCTAAAATGATCAGCATAAGTCAAGTATTTGATAAAGATTGTATGTTAGCTACAATAAATCTAAATGTATTATCTCTAGCAAAGATCAAAAGGTAATAATGAAAGATTCAAGATCCAAAGACAACTGCTATATATAGATATCTCAACCCTCATCCAAGGTTAAGAGCAGGGAGGAGTTAATATCTGAAGATGTTATCAAAATCTATGAAGTGTGCTAAATAGGTAAGATGTCCCACAAGATGATCCAGCATTCTACCTTCCCTAAAATTCTAAAGTTACTTCCTGTGAACCTCATGGAAACCACACAAGTGAAAGGCATGTGTGGAATAAATAAAACTTGATGTGTAAGAACTCATAAAGGAAAACTTGTTTATGATTGGATTGGTAAAATGTCAGACAAGATGTTGGAACATTGTGTCCAACGTGTGTTGTCTGAAATTAAGAAAAGTCTAGGTGGAGAATTCAATTACTATCTTGGGAATCAAGTTAAAATTGAAGATAGTATGTTTCTTTGTTAGAGCAAATACACAAAGAAAGTTGAACTTGAAAGGATAAATGGAATTATTGGTTTTTGCATGGATGAGAATTTAAAGCAAAGAAATCTTGAAAAATGAGAGTTTCTTTATCCTGTTATCATTGCTACATAAGAAATAAGGCACAACATTCCTATTTTAGTTCATTTTCAAAACTCTTTCATTTCTACATGCCTGGAGAGTTATTGGTCTCTCTCTCTCTCTCTCTCTCTCTCTCTCTCTCTCTATATATATATATATATATATATATATATATATATATATATATATATATATATATATATATATATATATATATATATATATATATATATATATATATCTTATTCTAGAAAAGTTGTTCAACTTTATCTCTTTCAAACCAATTTCAAAATGAGCCAAAAACCTATTGATGGTAAAACTATAGAGCCTAAGCCAATCACTAACACATACGGGGTTAAGATGATTGGGGTTTAAATGAGGGAGAAAGAAACACCAAAGAAAACTAGGGTTTGTGAATCTAGCGAAAAATAATGATAAATTTATCATGTTTTTAAACCCAAAACCTCTAAGTATGGTTGTTCCGGTTGACATTTTATCAAGAAGAACAAAGAGCACTTCTACCATGAAGAAGAAATTTGTTGAAAAGGATAGTACTTCTTGAAATAAATAATATGTACATGTTCATAATACTACTGAAAGTATGTCTACTAATAAGGAAGTTGTGTCCAATTCCACTGGTAAAAACACAACTCATGCTGATACCATTGCTAAGGAACCACATGTTGAATCACATGTTGATTCACATGTTGATCCAAATGTTGAAGCATTTGTTCCAATATCTGGTGAACCATAGGTTGAACTCCCTATTGATCCAATTGTGAATATTATTGTTCCTGATCCTTATGTGAATGAGATGTGGATGAAAGTAATGATTCTTCTGAATATTTGAGGACTAAGAATCCTCAAAATGAAGAGGTTGACATTCATAGTAAAAGGAATGATGGAGACAATGAGGATGATTACATTCTCATTGCCAACATCATGAAAAATATTGTTGAAGAGAAGGCTTCTCAAGAATCAACTTTGAATATTTTGAAAAGCTTAGCTAGGTATATAACTGATAAAGCTAGAGATAAAAAGCAAAAAGTCGATACTCCAAAGTCTGCTATAAAGAATGTGGAGCAGAAAACTCCTAGGATAAGTCCTCTAAACAAGAAGAAGAGGGTAGAAGAAAAGGCTATTGATAGAAACTCTCTTAAGAGGAAACTTGTGTCATCAAGTGAATCAAAGACATTTGTTAAAGCAGATGTCATAGACGTTGTTCCCTCTTACAGATAAATATTGGAGGAAAAAGAGTTCCAGTCAAGGTTCCTGCTTCCCCTTGGATAATGTGTCATTTCACTCAGAAGGCAGTGTGCATAAGTATAATTTTATGGTCCAGAGAAGAGTTTCCCATGAAAGGGAGTTGAGAAAAGATGATTTTGAGTCTCATGAAATCATGAATATACTAAAGTATGTAGTATTAGTAGGCATCACTTATATCTTGGCCAAGCCTATTTTTCAAGTTGGAACTAAGTCTAAAGTGTATTTTGAAGAATATGTGTTTAACCATACCATGATACATGATGAATCCTATGTTTAAATATTCCAATAGCTTTTTCCTGTTTAATTACTAGGATCATATTGAACCAACAACCTAATATTGTGTATGCTGAATAAATGAAGAACAAGAAGCCAGGTCCTCTGCCTCTTGATTACAGGATATTTATAGGACCATATGTCTCAAACATTGTGGTGCCAAGAAACCAAGGACAGGATGCATATGGAAATTCTTCTTTTGTCTCCAAAAATACTAAAAAGGACGAGTTACATGAATTGATGGAAACGTACAAGACTCTGCAAGCAAAAATAATCACAAGCACCATGAGAAAGAAGTAGGTGGATGAATTGATAAATCGGATGACAAATGAGAAGTAAGGTGAAGAAGAAGTTGATAGTGAAAAGGAGGAATCTGGAAGTAAATAGGAGGAATATGGAAGTGAATGGGAGAAGGACAGTTCTGAAGAATAAGTCTTTGGAAATGAAAATGTTTATCAAGATGTGTCAGACAACTGGTATGACATATGGTGACTGATGTGGTTGGATGCTAACTAAATACATTTTATGGTCTTCATTCAAATGCTTTTTGGCCCTTGTCTATAGGCACATTTTTTTAGCTGATGGTTTTGTAATGATCTTGTAACATTATTTATGCACTGATGAACTAAGTTTTGAATGTCAGTCCTGATGCTCTAGCACCTTATTCAACATATGTCCTCATATTGGCCGATACTTTTTTACTCCTTATATGTTGTGTGTATGTGCTAACATACTGACATCTATGTTGACTGGCTGATTTTTCTAGGGAATACTTCTACCAAATTATGACAAAAAGGGGGGTAATGGTGTGTAGGGGTAATGTATTCTAACTACTAACTACTTATGTATGGTGTATGAGTTTAGAGTTCTACCCATATGCTTAATACTAACCAGTTGATGTGATTGGTACTAACTATTCTGAATAGGTGTGTATGCATAATAAAGCATCTGGCCTAGCATATGGCCCTCAATTGTGTGTGTTGATCTCTTGTATGTTATTAAATTCTTACCTTGACTACTAATTGTGTGTTCGTGCATGATTGGTTATGTGATTGCATGACTGGCTATTATGGAGCATTAATTATAGTGTAGTAACCATTTGACTTCTGACTATGCTACTGATTTGTGTTGCTGCTACTAAGATTTCTGGTGTTGGTGTTATTTGCTCTGTGTGATTGTGTGTGGTTTCATTAATGCTCAACTTATGTTTCACATCTTACATGTTTTTTAAGAATGTTGTTTTACCAGAATTTGCCAAAGAGGGAGATTGTTGTTCCTTTTGGATTGGTTGCATTATACAAAATAGATTTGTTACATATTTGTTGCAGATTTGTTGCAGATTTCTTGGCAATGTGTGTATGATTTGTTTGAATAGTTGTTTGAAGATCAAATCAATTTAAATGGGGGTTTCAATATGAATTTGAATTAAAAATAAATCATATATTTTGTTGGAGACTTTTGTGGAAGAAATCAAATCTAATTGTATCAGCTATAACTTTGGATGAAATGAAATCAAATATCCAAAGGAGAAAAAGCCCATAATTGCATTTCTATTCGAGGAGACTCTCACCTCTTCAAAGGTTGTGTGCTCTAGGATTAAAATATATTTGTGCTAGATTTATTTGAGTCTTTAGTTTGAATTTCTTGTAAACCATGCTATTGCTTCATTCATATCATAAGGCATAGTAGTTGGTTTGTTTAGTTGATTTGTAATTCAACATTATCTAAGTTTTTTATTGAAGTTGATCACTTTGGATTAGTGATTGAGAGAAAGTGAGAGGGGGTTATCATATTTAGGGAGAGTCCTAAATATAAATACACTAGGGTATAATTAAGAAGAGTGGCATTAAACCAGGGGTTTGTTCATCTAAGACACTTTGTACTAATTCTATAGAATAGTGGTTTTCCTTTCTTGGGTTAGATTCCCTCTAGATGTAGATGTAGTTTGCACTGAAATGGATTACCAATTATATTTTTTATTTATTGTTTTTATTTTTAATTATTGATGTTGTCTTATTGTGTTAAAGCTGATTTAACAAGTTTGACAAGTTGTCTCAGACATCTGGTCCAATATTTTTCCCATGAGGAACATAATTTCAACTACCTGGTTGTCACTCAAATTTAGCATATTGTGCTCTTTTGACCTACTCTATATTGATGTGTGTGGTTCTGCGCCTATAATTTATACTTGTGGATATAAATACTTGCTCACTTGTGGTTGAAGTACATTTTGATTCTAGGGCTAAAGCGGTGAAAATTATTGAGGAGGAGAGATTCAAGCTCTAACCTCTTTATTTAATGGAAAAGGCATAGTCTATTAGACTAACATGTCCACACACACACACTATGAGAATGACTATATAAAGGGAAAGCATATGCATGTTGTTGAAATATGTCTCACTCTACTAGCTCAATCATAGCTTTCTCTCAAATTTTGGGACCATGCTTAAAGAATTGCTGGTTGCAAGCATTGCCATAAACGATATAGATATGATCATAAGTTAAACTTTCACTTTTAAGAATGTACTTTTATTGGTTACTCCTCAATCCATAAAGGCTTTCAGTGTCATGATAACAATGTTAGAATTTACATCTCTAAATATATGTTATTCAATGAGATATGATTTCCTTATGTCTGGCTATTTCATGTTACCTCTCACATACTTACACCTATTAAACTTCTCTAATTTAAATTTTTTATATTGGTACCCAACATCCCAACTTTACCATTATCACCTAATAACCTTCCTCAAGCTACTACATCATCCTCCTCATAACTTAAAACCTCAAACATTATATATGCAAATAACTTATCCTTCATTCATGTCAACAACTAAAAAAATTTCTCAACTCCTAACTCACTTTTACACATAAATTCTTCCTAGTTTGACACTTCAAAACTTGATCCATTTCTTTACCCTACACCTCCTAGCCTACCCTTCTTTCATCCCAACATTACACATGTAATAGAAACTAGAAGAGATTCTGGCATAGTTCAACCAAGGTTTTATCCCATTTTACTTCTCATTAAACTAGAACTAGCATATCAAAAGTCAGTCTTGAAAGACACAAGTGGATGGCAACCATGAGTGATGAATGTCATGCACTAAATAAAAATCATACCTCAGCCTTATATACTTTACCACCTGATCTTCAATCCATTTATTGCAAGTGGATGTTCATAATTAAACAAACCCTGAATGGCTCTCTCAACAAATACAAGACTAGGTTGGTTGTAAAAGGTTTTCACCATCATTATAAATTTGATTTTAATTAAACATTTTCATCTATTGTTAAGCTTGTTACCATTAGTATTTTTATCATTTTAGCTATCTCAAAAGTGGCCCATCACTCAGCTGGATGTTAATAATACCTTGTTAAATGGAATTATTTAGAAGTAATTCTACACACAATAACCTCCTAAATTTTGTTGAAATATTAAATTAGATTAGATTAGATTTGATTAGATTTAATATTTAATATAATTCAAGTTGTATTAGCCCAAGCCCAATTAGGGTTGTATATAAATAATCATAGTGTGTGTCATTATTTGTATACTTGAATAATACAAATCCTTATTTCCTTTATTATTCTCTCTTTCTCTCCTCACTAAAAGTTCTTCACGCACTTACAAATTGGTATCCAGAGCTTCTGGTTATTGTTCTTGATCAAGTTTTCAAGAATTTCACGTCATAGATCATTTTTCTAGGGCAAGTAAATCAACTGCTGCGAAGATGGCTAGTGATAAGGGCATTCCAAATTCTCTTCCAATGCTTGACGGTAAAAATTGGATTCGATGGAAAAAATAGATGCAATCCTTATTTGGCTTCCATGAAACCCTAGAAGTGGTTACCGACGGCGTTTTAGCATTGGCTACAAATGCAACCGAAGAATAGAAAAAATCCTACAACAAAGTCAAGAAAAAAGATTGCAAGGCTGCCTATTGCATTCAAACGGCTGTCGATGGTGCTAACTTCGACGAAATCTCTCATGCTGAAACAGCGAAGGAGGCATGGGATATTCTGGTAAAGTATTTCGAAGGAGGTGAGAAAATCAAGGTTGTCAAATTACAAACATTGCATCGACAATATGAGTTGTTGTCGATAGGAGAAGAAGAAAAAGTTACAGAATATGTGTCGAAGGTTCAGAAACTCGTCCATCTCATGAAGGGTTATGGTGAAACCATTACTGATAAGAAGATAGTTGAGAAGGTAATGAGAACATTGACCTCTCACTTTGATCACATTATCGTAGCTATTCAAGAATCCAACAATCTTAAAACCACTAAAGTGGAAGATTTGGTTGGTTCGTTAGAGGCGCATGAGATGAGGATTGTCGAAAGGAAAGGAGTTCAGGACTCGATACAGGCACTGCAAGCTCAATCATGGAAAAAAGATGGTGGTTCCAACAAATTCAAAGGCAAGTTCGACAAGACTCATGGAAAGAAGTCTTGGTCGAATTCCCATAAGAATAAGGTCGAAGATAGATCTTCTGAATCCTCGAAAAGGGGAGGAGGAAACTATCGAAAGGACAACGAAGATAAGAAAGGTATGCAATGTTATAACTGTGAAAGTGGGGTCACTTGGCCAAGAATTGTTGGTACAGAAAAGACAAGGGATCGAAAGGCAAGGACGAAAGAGCGAACCTTGCACGCCAAGATTCAGATGATTATGAAGGTGGTAAGATGGTTATGGCTGCAG